TACTATTCTAAGTACTACTACTTAGTACTTACTCAATCAATTAATCCAAGCAACATAAATTCAAAATTAACGTTGTGATAGTTGAGACCAGCTAGCATGCGTTATAAGGTCAGTCAAGGTGGGCTGTTTGCTTTAACCTAAGAAGGCAGCTGATCCATTGCCAGGCTGGCCGTGGATAGAAGAACTTAGAAGGAGAAATCAGAGAAAGATCCTCTCAATAGGCTATCAGATTTCCACCCAAGGAAAATAAATGCCATCGTCAGATTTGCCCATAACTATCTAAACAAAAGGAGATGAAGCACATATATCAAAATCAAGTGTCACAATCATCCTTGCACATTCGTAGAAGGGTCCTCCTCCTAAGACCACACATCTCTTGAGAACTATCTGATGACTCTTCTTCTATTCTGACCTACGTTGCTCTACGTTCGTATTAGCATGAGGAAGATAGTCTTACTCTTACCAAAAAGAAAACCCAAGAAAGAATGAAGCTAATTACAGCAACATTAATTAACAATAGACAATTTGATTTAGTAAAAGGGATAATTTTAGGAACCATCTCTGAGGTTTCTGACAATTTCACTAAACTCCCTTGAGATTTGAAATATTATACCTACCTCCTTTGATTTGATAGTTTTAGTAATAAAACCTTAAAATAATATTATTGAATCGATCAAATTTTGAAATGAATATTCAAAAATGCCCCTGTGTAATGAGTTTTAATTTACTTTTCCATATAATTATAAGATTATGTAGTATAGTTATAAGGAAAAGGCGCCAAAATTTTCATGTCAATACCTACTATTTGATAAATAACTATAATAATAATTTATCACTGTGATAAGAAACTTTTAATGGTATTTTATTATGAATTTAGATTTATAAGATAGCAAAAGAAAATGTTGAAATAATTCATTTAGGGTTTATGAATTTTTTGAATAGTGGGATTATCATAATTCAGTAGTGATTTTGGGCTATTTCTTTTTGATTTATTGTTAATTTTAATACCAAAAAATTTGAAAACAAAGATCAGCAAAAACATTGGATTGCATATAAAGTTAACTCATAAAAAAAATCAATAGTTCGGCGTTTGATTATAATAGAAGTTAGAGATAATAGTAGTAGTTCTATAGTTCTATTGGCAAAAAAAAAAAAAAAAAAAAAAAGAATAAGAGGGAAAAAGAATGAAAAAATAATTTTAAAAAGCCATTCTAAGTATAAGCATACAAAACAAATGAATTTCATTAAAATATTTAATGGTAGTATTGTAATTTCAAATGATAAGGGAGGCATGTGTAATTTTTAAAATCTTGAGAGAGCCGAATGAAATTGTTAAAAACTTCAAGGAAGGTTTCTGAAATTATAAATACCTTATTAAAAAATAGAAGTTCAGTAGTGAAATTTGTATAACTGACTGATTGACTTGTTTAATAGGATGAAAATTCAGTGGTTAGCCACTTAGCCTGCTATCGTTGAAAGTTATTTATTACTACATGGACATGTGTGAACTTAGAGGAAGGAAGAAAGACGTTGAATGAGGACCACCCATATTGCAAAGTCAATGTTTTCTTTTTTCTCTTTTTTCAAGTAAGAAATTTTGAACCAGAATTTTCTATCTATAATCCCCCGTGCTACCTTATTATCCAACCAAACCCTCCTCTAAAGGGCTTTATTTATTTACTTACTTATTTTGCCTAAAAAGAGCAACAAAGCAATTCCAAATGAATATTTTATTACGAGGATAATAATGGTATTTATCACATTTAAACCCTTAAATTTACGCCAGTTAAACCTCTTCTTTGACCAGCAATTTTACCATACAAAAGTACATTAATGATGAGTGGTAATGTACTGACGTACACCTTTGAATAGCATGGGTTTGGGTTTTGACAAAAAAAAAGCATGGGTTTGGGGGAATAAGAAGCTTACCGTGATCTCTTCTGTTTTTGGCCTAGTCTTCTAATTACTTGGTCGGTGTCTATATTAATTATCTTACTCTAAACCATTATGCTAGTAAGTGATTTTTTGTTCTCTTTTTTACAATCTTTTCTAAAATTTTAAAGTGTTTATATCAGTTAATACCTATTCGTACTCGATCAGCTCGTTTTTGTTCTCAATCAATCTAGGCTAAGCGTTGCTCTCAGCAAATTCTATGGTTTTATTTCAGCCTTTTCATTTTTAAAAAGTTATTTCAACTTTTTGTATTCTGATTTTAGATTTGTCGGGGACCAAAAAAAAAAATGCAAATTAAAGGCTGTATCATACTACTTTTGGAGTCTGATTGTGGGTTCTATTTTTTTTTTTATTTTGAGAACACCCATGCATACATTTAAATAGCTTTTGTAACAACAAACGAGAATATATGAATTATTTTTAAAAAAAAATCTGATTTTCAAGGATTAATTATATAAAATTAATTTGCACGAAAACAAAAACAGTTCAGCCCTGTTTGGATTGTCATTTTTTACCAGAAAATTGCATCGTTTTCCGTGATCATATTTCTCCATTACCTTTTTTCCTCACATACATCAAATCGCTACAGTAATTTTTCTATGAAAAATCATGAAAAATGCAATCCAAACGTCCAATCAATAAAGAACACCAAATGGCCATACCAACTATTCTTTTTTGGAAGGAAAATGGTCAGGTCAACTATTAGTGGTCCAATTCTTCACAAAAAAAAAAATAGTGGTCCAAAACTAACATATAATGCGTAATTCTTAGTGGCAAAGGAAAGAAAATTCTTATAAAACTCACAGAGGGCTGCAAATCAAAATCATGCCTGCTGTAGACATTTCCTAGGTATTACGGATTTCTTCTTTTTTTTTTTCAGCAAGTCAATTCTCCCTGTTTTCGGGCACGTTGCATTCACCTAGTACTACTATGATTGTGCATTGTGCACTACGTGGATTTAATTCAAATTGAACACTCCTATTCTAGCTTTATCTTCCAACTCCAGCTATTGCTACTGCCAGAACACAATTAAGAGCCAAAAAATTTTTTGACTTAACGGACAATTTTATCTCTCGTTGGTCAATATTAACTTACCCAACTTTTGTCCAAAACATACTAGTTATTTTTCTTTTGTCCACATTACCCAATAGAGCCACCGGAAACCCAAAGGGGAACCACTGCTGAATCAAACGAATGTACTCGTTGAATTTGAAAAATCAAGAAATCCTGACTAGGGATGATGGTGAATCAAATAATTCGACTTGAACTCACGAATTATTCGGTCAACAACTTGACTTGAATTCGTTTTGCTCGAATTCAAATTCACTAGTCGAGATCGAGTTCCAAATTTTTGTACTCAAAACTCAACAGATTTAATTGAGATTTTTATAATATATATTTTCTATTTATTATTGTAAGATGTCAATTGTATGTTTTTATTTAAAAATATATGTAAAAGTTAATTTTTATTAGGTAAGCTCAATTAGATTCAAATAGGTTTAATTGAGTTTGATTTGACTTAGTTAGATTTAATTAAACTCGAACCCGAAGCTTAATTAGATTCGAATAAACTTGATTAAATTTGATTAGATTTAATTAAACTTGAGTTCAAATAAGGTAGACGAGATCAAGTTCAGTAGTTTTATTTTACCTTGAATATTACTCAAGTTTAACTCGACTCGAATACACATCTAATACTAATGTTTGATGCTTGTTGGCAAGAATATTTGATTCCCCCACCCCCACCCCCAAAAAAAAGGAGGCATTCCAAGAGGGACTTAAAAGATCCATAGAGATGGCAAAATGGGTGGCATTTGCTTGGGTTTGAAATGGAACCGAGTCATATGGATTTGGATCCAACCTTACCCATGTGTATTTTGGGACTAATTTGGGCAGGATCACTTTGGGATGGGTTTAGATTGATCCCGCTCAATACTCAAATCTATTTTCTACATTTTTTTTTCCTTTAATTCATTTTTTATTTTTTATATAACTTTAATATTTGTATTTATTAAATTTCTTTTAGTCGTATTAAATAAACATGCAAGTGCTTTATACTCATGATTCCCACAAAAAAATAGATTAACAAATAAAGAAAAAGATAGATATACAACCATATTTCAACACATATCAAGATAGCCAAGACACTTAGAGTGTTGAATATTTATCCTCATCATTGTCCAAGGATGACAGGTCTAAACTGACTGAAATGCTGGAAATTCTTATATGATTAGGAAGATTGCCAGATTATATGCGCTGGTATGACTATAAAAATTGTTAAAGATAATTTTTGAATCTAAGACTCCGTTTAGACTGGCTATTTTTTCAAAAAATAAAATTTTCAAATACAATATTATAGTAATATACAATAATTCAAAAAACATCCTATTCATATTAGTACATCAAATATTTCAAAAATTTTTTTTATATACACTGCTATAATAAAATAGTTCAAAAATACCCCAAAAAATAACAAATCCAAACGGAGCCCTTGCTATTTGAGTCCAATGGATATCCAAGTATTTTTCAAAATTTCCCATCAATTAATGGATACAATTGGGATTTGTCCCATTGTAAACTCAATATCAAATTTCAATACCCATCTCGTCCAAAGTTCCCATGAGCATGGGTAACCCATTAAAACTTGGAACAAATTGCCACCTCTAAAGATCCATTTGGTGGGCACCGGACAAATGGTCCGGTGGTTCGAAACATAATTATTCATTTTATCAAGTTCGATTCTTAAGTTCTTAACTCCTATTTTTGACTCTCACTTTGTCATCCCCTTAACACAAAATCTCCAATTATAATTGTAAAAAAAATAATTCTCCAATTACATGAAAAAATTTAGAAAATAAATAAGAAAAGTTGAAGAACTTTCATGGATTAACCAATTAAAAATCCACAAAAAAAAAGGGGAAAGTCCCTCTAAGTCCACTTTCAATCCCCCTGCTACTTCCACCCATGCTCATTTTTATCCGTTCAAACCTAACCTGATCACCATTTTCCATATACCCAAATTCCTGGAATCTTCCCCTAGAGGGATCACGGCCCTACCCCCTCAGCCTTCGAAAGCCCGTCAACTCTTTTATTCTTGTTAATTATTCCTTCTTTTGATTAAATCCCATTTTTCTGTCTCGCCCTTCTTCTACTACTCCATCACTTCTACTCTTCCAAGCAAGCCCTTTTGGGTCGTCGCCTTGGTCCATTTAGGGTTTTCCTTCTTATCTTCATCCATTCATCCAAATTTTTGTCCTTTGATCGGTAGAATATTCAATTTATATATTTAATTCTGAACTTATTTGTTCAGAGTAGTGAGTAATTTTTTGATTGTTAAAGCGAGATCCAAAAAGATGAAGGTGATTGAAGAGGAAATCTCGTCTTGTTTTGGGAGCGGTAAAATTTTTCCACCCGGGTTCCGGTTCCACCCCACCGATGAAGAGCTGGTCCTCTACTATTTGAAGAAGAAGATGTGTCGCCGTCGACATCTGCTCGACGTCATCGGCGAGACTGATGTTTACAAGTGGGACCCAGAAGAGCTGCCTGGTATATGACTACTATTCTTTTCCTGCTTTGGTTTAGCTTTGCTCATAGGGGTTTTCTTGCGTTGACTTGATTTGTCATTCTGGTTGGCCGTTCAATTTTTGGTTGTGATTTCTGCTTTTGGTGTTTACATGATTGAGGGAGGCTTTTGATGTGTTTTTGGGGGTTTCGATGGATGTCTTGGGTGTATTTGATGGTTGACTTGAGTGTGTCGATTGATTTTTCATGTGGGTTCTGTTTAATTGTGTGCTATGTGTGATATCTGAGTGGATCAATGGTTATTTATGGTTCATAGGTTGTTTGTGTTTGAAACCTTGGATTGTTCCTGGGATTATGGTCCACGTGTACTCTTGTTGATTGTCAAATGGTTTTGGACTGTTGTTTGGAACTAAATATTTGTTGGTTGGTTGATTCTCCATTGTCTCGTTAGTCATTGAATGGTTTTGATTGGAAATGTCATGGCTGAAGCTGTGTGTGATTACCTCATGTGGTGGCAATTTTCAAGTTTGACAGTTTTTGTTTTTGGTTTTATACATGTATCTGGTTGGTCAGTCGGTCTTCTGTTAAACTCTTTATCAAGGGATTATATTTGCTTCATCTGTGTGTTAGCTTTCTGACAAAAGCTAAATTAGGAGCAGTGATAGGATTGATGCTGCATCCTAAGTGCTGTTATCTATGCATGGATTTTATTTTACTTTTTGAGACCTGGTTATCAGAATATCGACCATGAACCTGCCCCTGGTAGTTATTAGGATTTAAAATCTTGGCTGGGCCGCTTATCTGCCTCCTTTTTTGTTCCTTTGTTTTCAATAAGTTGATAATTAACATGGTAGATGCATGGTTGCTGGTCTTGTACTTTAATTGCAGACTGAGCTTCTGCGGTGTTTTAGTCATGGAACAAGTTCTATAAATATTCTGAATGGTTTAAGTTTTCCATCTTCAGTTTGTTTGAGAAAATGTTTGAGGATATTTACTTTATTGGTTATTGAGTTGTAGATTTGAAATTGGTTTTCAGTTCTGAAGAATTTACTGACATTCCTTTTGTAAATTTGATTGCAGGATTGTCTAAATTAAAAACTGGGGACAGGCAGTGGTTTTTCTTCAGTCCCAGAGATAGGAAGTATCCCAATGGAGCGAGGTCCAACAGGGCAACCAGGTATGGGTACTGGAAAGCAACGGGAAAAGATCGGATAATTGCATGTAATGCTCGTGATGTTGGGGTGAAGAAAACCTTGGTTTACTATAAAGGTCGTGCACCTTCAGGTGAGCGAACAGACTGGGTGATGCATGAATACACCTTGGACGAAGAAGAGCTAAAAAGATCTCAGGCTGTGAAGGATTATTATGCACTTTACAAGGTATATAAAAAGAGTGGGCCAGGTCCAAAGAATGGTGAACAATATGGTGCACCTTTTAAGGAGGAGGAGTGGGATGATGAAGGAGGTGAGACCAATGGACTTATTGACCATAACGACCAGGAGAATCCTGTGAAGCTGGTTAATGAAACAGCTCCTGTTAGTGAGAATGGAATTGTGTCTCAGCCACAGTCCCATTTAGATGATTTCGAGGAGTTTGTGAATGGGATGGCAAACGAGCCTGTAGTTGTTCCATCTCCTGCAGTGGACTATGAATATTCTTTGGAGGAGCTCTTGTGCGAGGAGGAGGCCCAGAGTAATCTAGTGGATCAATCCTCATGGGAAGTCAATTTACATGATCAAAGCACAGCTGTTCACCCAGCCTGTCAGGAGTACAATGTGCAGCCTAGCTTTGACTTGACACAGTCAGGTACATCTCAATTACAGTTGCACGAGGCATCTGAGGTCACATCTGCTCCACAGAGTTATGCATCAGCTCCTCATGCGGTTGAAGGGGATTTCCTGGAAGATTTTCTAGAGATGGATGATCTTCTTGGTCCACAACCAACTGTTCAGGCCTTTGGAAAATCCGCTGTTGAAAATCTGCAGTTTGATGAGTTCGATGGGTTGAGCGAGCTTGACCTGTATAAGGATGCACCCTTGTTTCTTAATGAGTTTGAAACAGGGGAACAGGGGCAGATTGCTCAACCTTATATGAATAATATGGGCACTGAAGTTGTGGATCCTGTTTCAAGTTTCTATTTCAACGATGGTGGAACGGAAACTATAAACTGTGAGCAGACTTATTTAAGCAATCCAGAGGAGGTGAGTTTTCAACCATGGTCACATGATCAAAGGAGCAGCGTCTTTGCTGCAACAGATGCTCATCAGGGGACCATACAGCCAGCAATCTCAGGTACTGCAAAAACAACCAAATTCAGTGTTGACATCTTTGGTTGGCATCGGTATCTGTAGTCTCATTTACGTTTTTTAATTTTTGTACAAAAACTGTTGTCTTTCTCGGCTAATCTTATAGAGCTCTTGGTCAGATGGATGGTATGGGAAGACCATGTCATCTTCAACTTGGTGAAAACTCTACTGCCCAAGTGGATATGGGAGAGTTTGAGCCAGCTTCAAGAGCTCTTCTGCTTTTACTGTGGTGTAAGACTTAATTGCTAATATTCATAAGTTTTGGCATGTTTAGGTATGGTTTATGATGGTAACTTTTCCGATCATGGTTCTGGAGCTGATCAAAATCAGAGTGGCAAACAGGATGGTACAGACTCTTGGTTTTCTTCTGCTCTCTGGTCTTTTGTGGAGTCTATACCCACCACTCCTGCTTCAGCTTCAGAAAGTGCGAATCGGGCCTTTGAGCGAATGTCTAGCTTTAGTAGGGTAAGAATAAATAGTAAAAACATGAATGTTGCTGCAGGTAGTATCTCAGCAACTTCAAGTAGTTCAGTCAAATGTAAGAGTGGATTTTTCTTTTTTTCATTGCTTGGTCTGTTATGTGCCATCTTATGGATGTTGATAGGAACATCTGTAAAAGTCCTGGGAAGATGCATAGCCTAGTAATAATGTAAATTGAAGTTTTGCTGGTTTTACTCAAAAGTGTTTTATACAAGTTGAACATAGCTTATGAATGTTGCAGAATCTCGTATCATATAATTCTTAAACCTTGGCAGCCCCTCGTCTGCAGGAATTCCAAAGAGTAAAAGCCCGAGAAACACAATACTCAGCAATTCTGTCTTACTTTAGCATAGCATTCTTTCCATGTGGTAACTAGAAAATGTTTAGCATCTGTAAATGATGAATTTGTATAATTCCCATCTCATTGTAAGGAATCTGCATTTCTTCAAAAAATTGTAGTTTATCATTATATGATTGATCAGTAGGCTATGAGCGTTCCCAGGATGAGGGATTTATTGTACCATCCCAACACCTGGACTAGTTGAGTTAAACCAACAGCTTCTGCCAGCAGCAGAGTCCCAAAGTGCTACAAGAAAAATGGCGAGGATGTTTGGGCTCAAGGAACTTGGTCTCCTTTGGCAAAAGGAGATTAGCGAGAGCAGAAAATGTTTTCGTCTTTCACTTGATTTGATTGTTATTTGGAGAAGTTGTAAATAGTTTTGCTCCTACGTTTATTCCCTGTCCATTCATTTTGTGTACTAACGTATCTTCGTCTTTCTAACCTAGATCAAGCTATGAATTGAGGAGGCAATCATTTGGTAAAGCTCCAATCTCCATTAAAGCTTATCAGGGTTGTTTGTCTAATAGTATATCCTCAAGCTTTACATCTCTGAAATGTTTGCGCAAAATCTTTGTATGGTAAAGAATAATATGTTCAGCAACATTTGCGAAAGAAAGTAATTTCTTCAGTGAAGTCATCTATGAATTTCTTACATAATATGCACACTGAAATTTTGTAAGATGTTGAGTATATTTCCGCATGTAAACTGCTGCAAAATGGATAGGGGCATCAAAATGGAAGCATGGGATTGCAGAGCAAAATGGTTTATCTTGTACGGAATTCTCAGTTTCCTAATGATGTATTTGCAACAGAAGAAAAGGAGAAAAAAAAAAATGCATTAGATATCGGGGTCTCTGTTACTCGTTTTCTTGATCAACTAGCTATAACTTGTTAGGAATAGAAAAGCACAAACAGATGAATGTAAAAGAAAAATTTAGTAAGAGGTGACTGCATTATTATGCTAGTGGTAGTACAGCTCATTTTTTCTCATTTCAAATGTAATTTAGCCTGTCCAGTGCGCATTCTGGACCTTAATTCATGTTGCTAGTTGAAGTTTCTAAGTTGATCTTGGAGTATCTTTTGAAGTTGATCTTATTCTTACGGTATGCTCGTTCCCACTTGCGATTTCAGTAGTCACATTATTGTTACCATCTCATGCTGATGCTGCTACTATATATTATAACAACTGAAAATCAGCCACCAGGATACTTAATCTCGATCTTAGTTAGTTCCTCTTGCTGATACAAATCTGGGTTGATCTTCATGTTTCCTTGACTGTCTTTGAAACAGATTTTAATTATGCTCATTATACGTTTTCCTCGAGCCCACTTTCGGCTAGAATCTTGCCTGTCTGCTGCAAGACAAGTTTTGTCTTAGCTTTCTTCAGGCTTTGATGGTTGGACGTTTGTGTTCCTATTGCAGTCAAGTTTGGTGTCTTAGCTTGAAGCAGAAAACCCTCAGTTGCATGCACAAGCTACAGCTAGGGAAGCAGGCAGTTCTTTGTTTTGGGCAGAATGTATTGTTGTTCCAACTTGTAAAAGCTGTCGCCATGGTTACCATTGCGCAATTGGATCTGTAGCAGTCTTTTGCTAACTGGTTTGTGTATTTCCTGGGGTATGCCCCTTGTAGTTTTGTATCTCCTTTGGGTATCTTACCCAACAAAAAAAAAAAAAAAAAGATGTTAATTTTGGGGAATCATTAATATTATTATTTCCTAGTATTTTCGATGATATCATGTCTCGCTTAGTTGTTTAACATCCTTTCACATATTAAAGTTTTATTTGAGCAGAAAACTAGGAGCATATTCTTAAAAAGATGCTTTCTGGAATTTGCTTTTACTACTGTTTTATGAATGCAAATAAATGTTATCCAGCTTTTTTAAAGTCAATTGAGGCACGAGAATTGACCTGATAAAATCAGGAGATGAACAAAGACCTAGTCAGTGAGCATGACGTAAAAAATTTGAAAAACCACAACCTAAAGCTGTTTAGGTGGAAAGGTTACCTGACTCTCGTACATGCACTACAGATTTGAAAAATCGCTTCAAGATCAATTCAGAGCATGTTACACCATTTATTTAAAAAAAAAAAAAAAAAAGGGACAAAATTCGGAATTAGTAACACCTTATAAAGTATTTGTTCACATAATGAAGTCTTTACATGAGCTGAGCTGTCGCTATCAATAAATACAAACCTTTAACCAATTAAAAGATTAATGATTTTTTTTTCCTTTCCACACCCTTTCTATTTTCAACTCTCAGATTAATGATCCAATATTCGAACCCTCAACCTGATAGTAGGAAGAACTCTTAATAGTTTTGCTCTTTCTATCTACTTGACCAAACTTAAACTGGTATTCTGGTATTGTGAACTTCAGTTATATGTCATGAGCATATTTCCACTTGGTAGCAAGATAATTACGTTCTACATATATTATTAATGTTTTTTGTACGTGTGGGTTATTCGCAGAAGCAGACATAGGCAAAACTATAGTTTATAAGATGAGGTGATCAGTTCAACCGTAGATTGGGTGGTTCAATAGCAGGTTGGACGGCATCTATATTAGATAATGTAATAATAGATTTTAAATTACAGAAATAATAACATTTTTAAGTAAACGGTTCAACTGGCAATTTTTTTTTGCAATTCACCGATTGAACCGCCGAATAATTGACTGATCAACAAGTCTATTACTTGTCCGATCTAATTAATGACCCAACCCAATCCTATTGCTTAGTCACCAATTTAGACAGTTCGATTGTCGGGCTGAACCGAATTTTATAACTATGGACAAAACATCCCAAGAACTAGAAGGTGCTTGGATGGGAGATTATTTGAAAAAGTTACGTAGCATTTTTTATAATGTGATGTACGTACGATAAAAATGTAGTTAGAAAAATAAAAAGGTTAATTGAAAAATATATTTATGATAAAAGTAAAAAATAGTTTGCAAATAAGTTTAAACCCAAACAAACCCAAATCACTTAGCTTGCATTTTGCTGGGAGCCATTTGAAAAATAATGGAGTCATGCAGCAATGACTCAATGCCTGGAAGTCTCCTGTATACAATTATTTTGTTTTTCCTTGTTAAACCTTTGAATTTACGCAAGGCGGTGGCCCTACATTTTGCCACCTACTCAAGAGAACATGTACTCGCTCTCTCTTCCTGTGTTTGAATGACGTCCCATTCCAGAATTTGGGAATACATTGTGAAAGAATACTAAAGGCAGCAGAAGCATAAATATCATGTGGTTTTCCCATTAAAAAATCAATAAATAATGAATTGACGTTACAAGAAAAGCCTCTGAAGTGCTCTTGCAGCAACACGAGAAACCAACTTGGCAAACAGGTCAGCTGGCAACCGAAGTAACTGTTGTTGCACATCTGGTGGGAGCTGCCAAAGGTGTAGAACATATTTGTCAGAACTTCCTTTCCATAGAAGTTCATATTACCCAAAACCAATGACGCTAATCAGCAAATGTAATCAGAGGATATACTAAATGAACAATCACAAAGGCCCGGGATTTTCTGATAAGATTGGAAGTCTTCACTTATATGCAAACAATGTAAGTAGTCAAGGAATCTAACCCCCCTTTTCTCACTCTCATAAAGAAAAGAACATCTAAATGTTGTGAGAGCCATAACAATGAGAGGCTTCTAATATCTGGGAGTTCATTACTAGTATCCTGTAGGTAGACTCGGCCATGATATTCCTTTGACCACGCTGTAAACATCTAATCATCGGTCTATTCAGACTTGAAGAGCTAAATTACCTCGGGGACGACAGCAAGGAATCGCCCTAATTCCTCAATTGATACAGATTGATAAGGAACCAGGGAATTTCCATTTGAAGATATTTTCCGGCTATTGTAAGCACTGACCTGCAAAAAATTATGTAAATGCCCCATCTGGACATGTTAATACATTTGAACATTTCATGAGAGAAAACCTGTACCATATTGTCTGGCCTTAGTGGTCCTAAGTCGTAGCTCATTCTTATTTTACTGTTTTATGAGCTAGAGTATTATCACTTCATTAGGATTAACTCTTGTGACACAGTCGTGAATTCATCCCTTATGTTATACTAAATTAACATTCTTATTTAAAACCAAATTTTAAAAATTATACATCAAATGTGGAGCTACAATGAATTTCACTTGCTCAATGAGCAGTGTTAAACAACTTGTTCGATTGATTAATTCATCCTTGTAGGGTCTGTTTGGTTGGAAGTAAAATGTTTTCCTTGAGAAAATATTTTTCATGGAAGTAATTTTCCATGAAAATCATTTCCCTTTCATCATTTTCAGGTGTTTGGTTAGCTTATTGAAAATATTTTCTTACTTCATTTTTCTGGTGTTTGTTTAACTTTTGAAATATTTTCACTTTTATCTCTATCTTTATTTTCTACACATTATAACTACATACTTCTTCCCATACAAAATAAGAAAATTTATCTCATTATTTAACTTTAAAAAATCTTGGAGAAATGTATATATAAATAAAAAATATCTCCTTAAGCAATAAATAAATTGCTGGCCATTTAGTGTCAAATATCAATCACATGCAATGTTTATTGTAACATATATCTTGCACTCTCACTGCTGAAAATTTCTCTAGAAAAGAATGTCCCTATTATACATAATTAATTACTAGCATAGGATGAGTAGGATGAGGTTTTTTTTTATTTTGAATATGCTAGGGGGAGGGTTGAGTTGGGTGGTACGAGGGAGGGAGTGTAAAGAAGAGGTCTTGTGTTCGAGTCCTCCTGTTTACACTAAAAAAAAAAAGAACATACTACAAGATGTTTTCAATAAGTTTAGAACATACTAAAAAAAAAAGAACATACTATAAGATGTTTTCAATAAGTTTGGAACATACTACAGGCGGGACGCATGCATTTCGGAAAACAACTTCAGTAAGTTTGAAAGGGAAGTTGTTTTCCATAAGATGAGTGAAAATATTTTACATAGGAAAATGTTTTCAGTAACTTTTGTGCAACCAAACACGGGAAATTAGGAAAATATTTTCCTAGAAAACATTTTCACCCGAAACAAACAGACCCGTAATACAGCACATTATAATCAAGTTTAACATATTCATCCATGTTTAAGCTATCTCTTACAGACTGAATTGCATAATCACTGGCGGTTATAATCATGATGAAATTGAAGTTGGGGTTCCAAAAGTATCAAAGCAACAGCTTAAATTTGTGAAGTGACTATAGGAAGTATTCTAATGGTCACACATCCAACTTCTCAAGGACTAGAAAGTTATGCATCATCAATGAAGATGGCTTGACATATTTGTCATTCAGCAGTTACAGTTGCTTTTTCACTTGCAGCACTGTTACATATTTGGGCAAAAGATTTTCAAATATTTTGGTGGTAGCTTGATTAGAAAAACGCACTTATGATAAAACATAAAAACTGTCTCTCCCTCACACACACTCTCTCTCTCCCCACAACGCAAGTACCAAAACTTATCATTACACTTCAACATGTACACAGAGGCCTGTAGAGGTTGATATACACGCAGTTGTGCAAGTCATTTCATTCATTTCTATCATTAGAGACCTACTTAACAGATGAGTAATGATTTGACTTTCGACTAGTTAAACTATTGAAATGAAAATCTCTTACCATGCCAGTTTTTCTATCCTCTTGAAGACCTGATAGCAACGACACAAGGCGCTGCAATGTTCTCAAATTTGCACTATCTTCATCAGTCATTAGTGAAAATGATGGAGAACCAGAGAACGGGAGTCTTGCAGTAAGTGAAGATGCTACAGAATCAAGAGTTGCAAGTCCAAATGCATCCAATCCCTAGAAAAATTCG